AAAAAAAGGAAAACACTCCCAGGTTTTTCTCCCACCCATTCTTCCACATCACTAGTTACGTATTTAGCAAATTTACTTAGGAGGGATGTATGAAGATATACCCCGTGAAAAGCAAACCCTGTAGAAACCTATAAAATGAATGAGTGAATTAATGAATGAACAAGCAAGCAGAAAGCCATAAAGAAAAAGTGGAACAAGGGATAAGTGAATGAGTTGCAGAAGCTGTACTTCTGAATCACGAAAAGGGCTAATTATGACTTAAAATAGTTGAGAGAATAAAGATTAGTCTGTAATAAGGCCATTGCATTTAGTTAACAGTGCAGCGCCAAACATAGAAAGATTGTAATGTCTGTGCAAATTAGGAAGTTGAATTGAATAGGATCAAAGAAAGCACTGACAAACGGATTCTAAGTACAAAAGAGATCAGGGATAAATGCAGTACTTTACATTGCTAAGAATGTTATGTGTAATGAGAAATACCAATAAGAGATTAAAATTTTTAGATTGTCCTTCCACAAATGCAAAGAGAAATAAGATAATAGAAAAGTGAATTATGAAGAGATGAAGTGATTTTAGAAACATAGAGAAAAAAAGCCCCCAAAATATTTTTAAAGTGTGGGAAGGGTTAAATAAAAGGGGTTATATCTGATGCTTATCTCAAAACCTTTACAATTACTTTTGGGGAAAGCATAAAAGTTTACACCTGTAATAAGCAAACTATTGACTAAGGCATAGCTTTTATTAAAGATTTAGGTTGAGGGTGGTAGCAAGAGAAAAAAAAAAGAGTAGGTTAAAAAAAAGTTGTTGGCAAGAGAGTCAACAAGGGCAAATTGAGTGTCATAGAGCAGAGTTGGAGTAGGAAGGAACAAATTTGTTGAGGAGGAAGTCAGTATGTTTCTTTGACTTTCTCCACAGGAACAAAGCAGAATGTGAGCATAAATTAAAAGAGTGAATCCCAAAGGTAAATGAGCTCTAAGAATTATTAAAAATTTAGTCATCTAAAACTGGCAAATTAAGACATAAGTAAAAAGAAAGATTTTATTTGAACAAAATATATTGCATTTCAATGGTAAGTAAACTGTGAAAAGTTAAGCCTTCATATTTCCTCAAAGGAAGGTGCTGAATAATAAACATTGATGTTATTTGGTAAAGCTAAATACAAAAGTATAATTTTTCAATTAAAAAACACATCAGGTTATAAAAGTACTGTACTAGCACCTTTGAAACAATTTTAATTAGAGGTAATGGTTTGTACTTCAATAAATTCTCAATTGAGCAAGCCATCCGAAATAATAGAAATCTTTATAACTGAAAAGTTCTCATAAAATGTCTGTGTTAACTGCAGGTGGCCTAAACTGAATATATAACATGCATGTATATTTTATTCATTGAAGCTTAAAAATGTTAAACTAAATATATGTGTGATAGTTTAATAGTACAAATAGAAATTAAACTAATTAAGAAAGTTATAATTCCCCCAAAGTATCCTATAATTTGACTACCTAACAAAGAGGGACAGATGACTTTGCTAATTCCTATATTAAATATAAGCAAGGAAAGTATTATTTTCTAATGTATTGGGAGAAAAATAACACTTGGGCTCTAAAAAGAATGAACTTTTGTTAGAGATGGCAAATGTTTGAAAGTTCCTGAGTGTAAATGTCACTATTCAAAGAGGATATTTCAAACACGCATATCTGAAATAGTAGTGTTTTCTACCAACCTTCAAAGGCTGACTTACTTGAACTCACAAATGGCTGCCCAGTCAGCAGTGACATCAGACCTGGAAATGATGTGGCCTGTATAGTGTGCAGTGGAGTGCAGTGCTCTACTTGTTTGCAATGGTTTTATTTTTCGACTAGCTTTTATCACACTTGGCATGAACAAGGGAACATGTGCTTTGCTAAATTTGAACTTTTAAGATGAAACTGAATTAACTGAGAACCAAAAAATTGCTTCTGAATTTTCCTAAGATTGAAAAATGCCTTTCCTTTCATACTAGGAATGACAAAATAAATGACAACTACATCTTGAAAGTTTAAATGTGAGTTAGAAAGACCCTGTGGTTTGAGAACAACATTGTTTACTTTTTCTTTTATGCACCTGAAATAAGACTGAATTGAAATGGCTTCTTCCCATTTAGTAGTACAACATTTGCTAACAATAAGAGATGTAATAAACCTAAACCTAAATAGACCTAATATAAGCTCCAAACCCAATATAAGATTTGTTTTATTTTTAAGCAGAAAGTACAATTTGCCATTTCTTAAAAATATAATCATCAAAATATAGTCAACTCCTGCTCTGAAATTTTTAATCTCATATTTTTAAATTAGTGTTGAAGCAAAATAAATGTATTGGTTAAAACAATAAGAAGCATATCCCTGGAGATGCTCTTCCCAATGAAACTCCCTCTTACACATTATAAAAGTTGTGCTATGATACCCAAGTATAAATGCTTTGTATATAAAATGAGTGCCCTGTCGAGCCGATATTTTTAAAGAGTTGAAATCCCAAATAATTGTAAAACACAATTCAAGATATAAATTGCAAGAAATGTTTATAAGGATTATAGGGATAAGTAAGAGGTCAAACAACCTGAAAGAATCAGCTTGTGGTACAAGCTTCATTGCATTAATAATGTCACAGTTAGTATGTTTATTAAATTAAATATAATCAGCAAGGGTCTTCTAAATATCATGTTCCTAATACTAGATTACATATTTATTTCAGAGTTAACATAGTAAGAAGGAGAGCTATCACTAGAAGGTCTATTAAGCCATGGGTGATTTTTTTTTTCCATTGCTTTAATGGAACTATTCAAATCAAAATTTTCATGCCATGCCTTGAACACCGCTGCAAACCATACTGTGGGTGTAAAATACACGCAAGGCGGATATAATCAGTTCAGATGAGACCAATGACTTGTACACCATCAAGTTTACTTTATTGTGAAAGCAATGGGGTTTTCTTTCAAATGAATATATTTTTAAGTGTGTGGCACCCTAAAGCACAAGCCGAAGATGGAACAGAAGACACATAAATCTCAAAGATGAAATAAACCCAGGATAATGCAACACCTAAAATTTTGCCTAATTTGTCTGGCTGCTCTGAAAGACTCTTCTTCTGGCAAAAGTTAAGCTGACCTTAACTTCAACAATTCATTCGACTTGCCTAAAGTCTCAGCTAACATACCAGAGTAAACTAAGCATTTCAAAATCACTAGGCCTTAAAGTTGCTGAGTACTTCAAACACCAGTTTGTCTACTGGTTCTCCAAGGGACTCTAAATAACTTTTTAAAATAAAGAATCTACTCTTTTTTTCTGTATCCCCTGGCTATAAGTTATCGTGCCTACATGATAATTTATAGCCACACCTTCTAAGGACAGGCTGGGTGTTTTATAAAATGATTTAGGAACATAAAACCTTGTCCCAACAAGTGCGTTTTAAATTCTCCGGGAATATAAATGACTTTAAATTCAGCAATGTTTTTGTTCCTAACCTGCATCTTAATCAGAAAGTGGAAGACATTTTGATTACCCAGTTCTGAAATAAAATAAATATCTCCCCCTACAAAACACACACACACACACACACACACACACACACACACACACACACACGCTGGGTCAGGAAGCTCTTCTCAGGTCCTAAGTACTAAACTTTAAAGGTTGTGGTGCTATAAATCGATTCTAAAAAGCAACCTGATATTTGGAAACAAACTGGTCAGTGAGTCTCTGCCAGTCCTAAAAGGGCTGTTCACCCGCTAAGCCCTCCGCGGTGGCCAGGCCTGGCTATGCAGGAGCAGCTAACGGGAGGCCAGACCTGCCGCCTGGCCCAAGCCGGACCCCTGACCTGGCCCTGAAGCCCGGCAGCCCAGGACCACAGTGCGCTCGCCCAACGGCGGAGCGGGAGAGCTTGGGCCGGAGAGACCGTGGGTCTGCGCTGGCCTCACCTAGCCTCGGGGCCAAGTCGGCCTTGCCCGAGGCGTGCTCCGGGCCACCTCGTTCCGAAGCACAGAGGGGCTGCTGAGAAGCAGGGCGCTGCCTCTCGAGCCCAAGCAACTCCTGCGGCCGCCGCGCTCCGCCTGGGGCCACTGAACCCGAGTTAAGATGGCGCGGGCAGCGTGGGGCGGGAAGGCGGGAGCCAGAAAGAAGCGCTAACCGCGTGCTCTCCTTCTTCTTTCTTCCTTTGTCTTTCTCGCAAATATACGGTCGAAAACAGCACCTCTGAGTTTTCACACTACACCCTCCATCCCTCTCCGCCCTCACCCCGACGCCTTCTCTCGGGGATATGAAAAGGAAACCCGAATTCCAACTGGGACACAAACTTTGATTCCCACTGGGCCTCCCAAATCCAAACTCTGATTTCCTTAGAACCGCAGCAACTTCTCAGACACACTGCCAGCGTCACTTCATAAGGTACCCAATCCTTGTTGGAAGCGAAGAGAAATGATCATATTTTAAAGGACCAAGGAAGCACACTGCCTCCGAGAGGAGCGCGCGGCTGCAAATTTACCTCACGCTGACTCAGTCCACACAGCAGATGGTGGCAGAGCTGCAAGGGAAACGACCTCCCCAATTTTTTTAAGTGCTTCCTAATAGCAGCGAAAGCGCGTCTTTCAGTACAAGGCACTACGTTCCTGTGAAATCTATCCTTGGCTTCTACGAGCTTCGTTTAAGCACATGACAGCGACTTCACGGCACACAGACTCTGCCCGGAGGGCGGCGGGCCGCGCCGG